ATATTTGGATCATTTCATATTTGCAGCTTTCGAAATAAAGATGTACCAGTAGTAGTGTATGAGTGTTAATTTGATAATTCCGTCAAGGACTGAGGTGCTTCTAAAACTGTGCGGTAAACACCAAAAAGATTTTTAATACAATGAGTTTAAACATTGGGTATGAGAAAATACAGTGTGTACCACTGTAAAATCCATCGATTGATTATTGAAAAACTATAAAAAAGAAAATAAAAAAATTTGGGAGTATACCAATCTCAATGGAGACATTAGAATTTTTTCAAGAACATGTCACTCTTGGTTATACCGGTTGTAGATATCAACTTGTTTATTTTAAATAGAACTTATAAAAAGTGTTCCATTAAGAATGGGACATAGAACAACTGAAGATTTACTGATTAAAAAAACGACGACTGAACGAAATATGGTTAGGTTAAAGGTTACTCGTCTCCGAGTTGAAAATTCGCAAAAAAATTAATGAAATATTTTTATTACTTAGTATAATTTTACTAAATTCGGTAAACGTTTTTGATGGTATAAAATATACATATCTGCAAAAAATATGTTAAATAAACTTTGCCAGTGGCAAACGGCATGTGTAAATAACACCTTCATTATCTGTAAATTTTATGCCAATGCCCTCAAACTTATTTGGGCTATAATTTTAAATTTTTTCTTAAATAAATTATTTACTCTTATTTCAAAATTTCAGAAATTGAAAATAAATTAAAATAAATAACATCCATCTTTGTGCGAATATCTCGAAAGCTTTCAACAAGAGTACGTAATTAAGGTGAAAAATATAAAAAAAAACTAAAATTATAATCCAAATAAATTATTGGACCGTGGCGTAAAATATAAAAGAAATAAGGGTGTTACTTATCCATGCCATACGCAACTGGCAAAGTTTAGTTAACCGATTTTTTTGCTGATAGGTGTATCTAATAAAACCAAAAACGTTTGTTGAATTTAGTAAAATTATACTAATAAAAAAATTAAAACCATTAATTTTTGAATTTTCAACTTTAACATCCTGTATTTCGGAGTTGAGTAACATTTTACCTAAACATGTTTTGTCTTATTTTTAGTGAGAAAATCTTCAGTTGTTCTTTGTCTCATTCTTAATTGCCAGTATAAATATTTTTACATTTAACCAAACGTATTTTGTACGATACTGTTTGATTTTTCCAATTTTTGGTCAGCTTCAGTGAAGGCTACTGAATGACTGAATAGTTTTCTTTGCTAATTTACCATCTGGTTTTAGAACAAACTAACAAAAGTTTAAATAGAAATAAGTCATCGTATTTAGTGCCAGCGCATGTCCAAAATGAGACCGAATGCATCAAAGATCATTTCTTATTTTAACTAACTAGCTGACCTGATCCCGCTTCGTTGGAATTTCTCAAACCACAATAATTATTAAAAGTGAATAACAGTTTTCGTTATTAGAGAGAAATTTTTTTATGCGATCCCTGGAAATATTTTTTATTAATTTTTAGTAGTTTTCTTAATTTAATTTTGCTTAATTTTTCTTAATTTTTTTTAATTTTTTCTAATTTTCTCAATTTTTCTTAATTTTTCTTAATTTTTCTTAATTTTTCTTAATTTTTCTCAATTTTTCCTAATTTTTCTTAATTTTTCTTAATTTTTCTTAATTTTTCTTAATTTTTCTTAATTTTTTTTAATTTTTCTTAATTTTTCTTAATTTTTCTTAATTTTTCTTAATTTTTCTTAATTTTTCTTAATTTTTTTTAATTTTTTTTAATTTTTCTTAATTTTTCTTAATTTTTCTTAATTTTTCTTAATTTTTCTTAATTTTTCTTAATTTTTCTTAATTTTTCTTAATTTTTCTTAATTTTTCTTAATTTTTCTTAATTTTTCTTAATTTTTCTTAATTTTTCTTAATTTTTCTTAATTTTTCTTATTTTTTCTTGATTTTTCATTAATTTTTTAAATTTTTCTTTATTTATATTTACATTTCCATAAGACAGTTTTAATTGTATTGGAATATAGTCATAAAAATAAACTATATGTAAAAGCTACCTATAGCTGAATGATAAAATAATAAAAAAAAATTATTAAAGATATAAATTAAAGATACTGTCATCAAATGCAAAAAATTCATCGAGTTTATAAAAAGCGTTAGTTACCAGGAATTCTTTAAGATGACTTTTAAATTACTCAATACTTCTACATGTCTTTATGACTTGAGGTAATTTGTTATAAATTCTTGGACCCATATAATTTGACGAACAATAGGTTACTTTCCCCCTGGCTAGCGGCAAATGAGAAGATGGTTTTGTCTCGTTGGATAATTGTGATATTCATTATTGTAGATAAATTTCTTTAAATTTTTACGAACGAAGACACACAGTTCAAAAATATAAATTGAAGTTACAGTTCAAATTTTTAATTTATTAAAGTATTCCTTACACGATGTACGACTACGAATATTCTCGATGTAGCGAATAATGTTTTTTTGCACTATGAAAACAGAGGATACATTTGTGGCATTACCCCAGAGACAGACACCATAACGTAACCTGGAGTCGACTTGTGCATAGTATAACGCTAATAGTTGGGTTTTTTTTTTTAGAACGTTTCTCAAATTAAGGAAAAGAAACTACAATGAGTTTAATTTAGTGATTAGCTTCTCACAATGGTTTTTCCAGTTAAGATTTTCATCTAATAAAATGCTTAAAAATTTAACGCTACTGTGGCTGTTCGTCAATAATGACTTATTAACTAAAAAATATATATAAAAAATATATCATTCACTTTATTTTGCACGTTGTGTTGCCTAAGAATTTTGGTTCTTTCGCTATTAAAAAATAGGAAACTCCTGTTAAAAAATGTACTTACATTATTTAAAATCAGTTCACATTTTGTCTCAAAAATTTCAGTAGATTTATCAGGAACAATTATAGAAAAGTCATCGGCATATGCTGTATAAGAATTGTTTTCCATAATTTAATCAATATGGTTAACATATAGGAGGAATAGCATTGGACCTAAAATTGATCCTTTTTGATTATTTTTAATAATTTTATTAATTTTTATTATTTTTTATTAATTTTTATTAATTTTTATTAATTTTTATTAATTTTTATTAATTTTTATTAATTTTTATTAATTTTTATTAATTTTTATTAATTTTTATTAATTTTTATTAATATTTATTAATTTTTATTAATTTTTAATAACTTTTATTAATTTTTATTAATTTTTATTAATTTTTATTAATTTTATTAATTTTTATTAATTTTTATTAATTTTTATTAATTTTTATTAATTTTTATTAATTTTTATTAATTTTTATTAATTTTTATTAATTTTTATTAATTTTTATTAATATTTATTAATATTTATTAATATTTATTAATTTTTATTAATTTTTATTAATTTTTATTAATTTTTATTAATTTTTATTAATTTTTATTAATTTTTATTAATTTTTATTAATTTTTATTAATTTTTGTTAATTTTTATTAATTTTTATTAATTTTTATTAATTTTTATTAATTTTTATTAATTTTCATTAATTTTTATTAATTTTTAATAATTTTTATTTATCTTTATTTATTTTTATTTATTTTTATTTATTTTTATTTATTTTTATTTATTTTTATTTATTTTTATTTATTTTTATTTATTTTTATTTATTTTTATTTATTTTTATTTATTTTTATTTATTTTTATTTATTTTTATTTATTTTTATTTATTTTTATTTATTTTTATTATATTTATTTATTTTTATTTATTTTTATTTATTTTTATTTATTTTATTTATTTTTATTTATTTTTAATTATTTTTATTTATTTTTAATTATTTTTATTTATTTTTATTTATTTATTTATTTTTATTTGTTTTTATTTATTTTTATTTATTTTCATTTATTTTTAATTATTATTTATTTTTATTTATTTGATTTTTATTTATTTGATTTTTATTTTTATTTTATTATTTTCATATTTATTAATTATTTATTTTTGCGATATTCTTCATTTCCCCATCCTTGAAATGTTAAAATCCGTCATTATTTACTGGTGAGTAGCAACAATTCCAATTTTCAAGTTCCTACTCGCATACAAACTGTCCAACGGCATGAGTATTTAAATAAAAAGCCAGCACGTGGATAAAGAAGTGTCTATGTGGCCTCCGATAACGTAGCAACACTGTCGGAGACAACAACGACAACTAGATGTACCAATTTATACAGTTTTCGGAGGTCACATCGTACCGTATATGCCTCCCTTATATATCATATTAAAAATTTAAAAATCTTTTCCTCTCTCAAGGAATTCGGATTGGTAATCATTTCGATACCCCATATATATATTTGTTTTCGATGTACCTCAACGGAAAGACTCGGAGGTCAGGTCGCCTTTTCAATATACCGGAGGTGACAACTTCTCGTGCATCAATATATATATATATATATAGGTAGGGCAAAAATTACAGAGAATGACATTTTAAACAACTCCTGTTGAAAGAATTTTCTTCTACAATTATAACAAAAATATACCTTAAGATAGACAAAAGTAATGCTCTCCCCCTCTGATGCCCAACACCTAATCAGTTCACCGCAAATTTAGTGTTTTTCTCTTTGTTCGTATACATTTGCTCATTCTATTTTGCAGCTATATCCATTCAACTAACGTTCGAATCAGCTTTTCCTTAGCAAGAAATCTTAGAGAACTTAACTATTTAAGGTGTAAAACCTAATGTAAACAATGAAATGTTTTTCATCATCTAACTCATGACCTTTAAAACAAATAATAAATCTATAATTGTTTCATAAATAATCGTCATATAAATAAATATTTTACAACGTATCAGGAGATAATGAGATTAATTAATTCTTTGTAATCTTGATATTGTTCAAACGTTTTTAATTGCATTTTACGAATAAACATTATGTATTTAATTTTAAAAGATCTGCAACAAAATCGAAATTCATTTTCTGTAATGAATAAAATAATTTAGGAAAATAATAAGTACCGTTTTAGTACTGGTCACATTATGTTCAGTCAACGTTTCATTAAACCTCTTCTCGCCGTCCTCAGTATCCAAATCATCGGGATCACCGAAACCACCTAAATCTTCAACGTTATTTATTGGCTTTACATTCGTATTTACTGTTGTACTCGGGTTCACATTTGTATTTGTACTAATTGGTACTGTAATGTTGTGTAATAACGGAGGAGTTTTTGCAGTTAAATCTTTTCTAATGCCTGTTCCATTCTCACCAAGATTTTTTTGGAGAAGCGGAATTGAAACGTTGGAAATAGTTTTTTGGAGTGGCACCGCCACAATCTGAAAAACAATATAACATTTTAATAATTTGTAAGAAGGATTGTTAAAGAGCAACAAAATATTCAAATAAATGCTTTATTATCAGTCTCTGACAAGTTTTATAAATATGTCTATCAAAAATCAAAAACTTCATAGCATGTTGGTTTACACAATTCGTAAATACCTAGTATTAATTATCCATGCTATCTAACAACGATAAAGCCAAAAGTAATTGAATTGCGGTAATTTGAGTACTATCTCAAAAACTATCAAACCCTCTGTGATGACGATGACACATTGCTTTTTGATGACTTAAACAAACGTTCATTTATAAAGTAGCGTAAAACTGTTTCAAGGAAATATAGAAGATATTTTTAATCATGTATAAAACAAAAATTATAGCGAATGATATCATAAACAACTTTTATTTGAAGAATTCTCTTCTCCAAGCGTAAATAACAGATATATTCCATAAAGTAATTTAAATATAACTATGATTTATTTTCCATTGTATACCGGTGTGAACTTAGCGAACAATTTTTAGCGACTAATTTTCCGAAAATTGCCGAACTGTCAGTGGCGTCGTAATTATTTTAGGAGGCATTCAAAAAACTGCATGCATCTACCACTAAGATTTGCAAATAAAATAATGAATTTAACAATAATATACCACTTTATTATTTTAAACTTGGTAGAATACAAAAGAGAACATAGTCGCAATCAAATATATCGGCTCCTAGATATAAAACTATAAATATTTTCTAGCGTAAGATAGGAACATATAACACGTTTACTGCCAGGGTACTTATGGAAATTGTACCAGGTGCTGTGGGTCACGCAAGTTTTTTTTTAGGAAGTTGGAATTAGTATCCAAAAATTTCTTAGAAACTAAAAAAAATACAAAAATTAATGTTTTTTTTTTTTTAAAAAATCTGCTGTGTGCAGTTTTGGTACACACGGTGCATAAACACAGTATCTTTAATACTTTTGTGTCATGTGCCATGCGTACTACATATGGACACATCAACACATGAATCTAAAAAACTAAACTAAATGTTCATTTTGTTACTTATGTTTATCCTTTTTTAATCTTAACTATCATGTTTTTATTTGAAAGTTCAGTTTTCTTATCAATTTTTTTAATTTTTTTTGCGTTATTGCTGGGTTTTGTAAAAATTTGATATTTTTTCCTTTGTTTAAGTTGACGTATGTAGGTAAATAAAAATAACAAAATACATCCAGCGTGATAAAATTTAACAAGTTATATACTGTAGTTTTAATATATCTTTTTTAATATTTTTTTTATATATATCTTATATTTTTTTTTAAATTTAAAAATCTTGTCGTTAATTACTATTTACTATGTTATTATTTATTTTTATTACTTATTACTTTTTTAATTCAACTGCTCAGATATTGATGTTTGTATATTAGGATATTTTATAAATAAAGCATTCATTCATATAAATAAGCAAAAATAAACATTTTTTCTCTAACCTTTATTTTTTTGTTGTATTACAGGGGAGAAAATAGTCGCAATCAAATATCTCGGTTCCTAGACATAAAAATATATTTATTTTCTAGCATAAGGTATGTACAAATACCACTGCAACCTGTCCTAAAGATAACGACTTGCAAGGTCAAATAGAGTGTTTGTCAACCCCAAAACGAATTTTCCGACTATTTAATATGAATCAAATATCTCCGGTCCTAGACATAAAAACATATTTTTTTAGCATAAGTTAGCTATAAATACCACTTTAACCTGTCCTAAAGAGAACGACTTGCAAGATATCTTGAAAGTCAAAGGGTCAAACAAACAAAAAATATATATACAGGGTGGTCCGTTAATAATGGGATAAAGCGCAATTATGAATTCCTTGCATAACAGTCTGTGATACCTATAATGTAATTTACATCTCAATAACTTTATAAGTTTTAACAGTAAAATTTGACAATTTTAGGTTTTCTGTGGTAACCCTGTTACTTGAGTAAAGTATATAATATCTTTGTTCATTGAATAATGGTTAAAATAAGTTAAAAATCTGAAAGCCCGTTCAATTTTACATAAAAAATTTACTCTTTTTTAAATTGTCTCTATCGGTTTTTGCGTTTTTCGCTCATTAAAATATCTGTGATTTACTTACAAAAATGTTTTTAAATAAAATTTGAAAAGTTGCCTTATTCACTCATGTTGCGTTATTTACCTATTTTATTGAGTAGACTTTTGTTAATATTTGTCAAATTTATGTATCAATAAGTTTTAAGTCAATTTTGAATTCGATAATAAAAGTATTTAGTAATATTATCACCCTTTTTTCGGATTAAAATTTAGTAATTAGGTATTTAGGTCACCGACCTTGATATTTATAGTTCGGTGATTTAGGTTCAGTTGGACGCAATGTCCTACTGTTTCGTTTTGTAGTCTGTACGTAGAATAGCTATTATCCATGTGGGTGTAGAAAAAAATAGATAATATACCATGTGGGCGTGGAAAACGTATTCATAAGTAAGAGTAAATAATAAAAAATGTTCTTACTTTTTTTGTTGTCTGTGTAGACGATGGTTGTTTTGCAGTGTTATATGGGACACTAGTAGAATTATGTACAGTTGTATTGCTTATGTCTCTCTTTTCAATATCATGCCTCAGATCTTCATTGTCCAAAAAATTAAATACTAATGAATAGTCAGAGCTCTGATGATCCTCATTTATTGCATATAGGTTCAAATCTGTAATAAAAAAAAATAAGTAAAACAACCTATCAGTTTTTATTAAAATTAAGCAATAGTTAAAATAGTTTACATTATATTTAAACATGAACTTAAAAATAAAATAGGAAAATAACTTCCTATGTATCAAATAATTATTTAATTTAATGAAAATTTATTGTAAACTTGTTCCAATTTGACTGTGAATTTGAATAAAAATGCTGAGCTGCAATTTTGAAATCATTTTCAAAACATCGAATGCTAATTGAATATTTTTTTTATGTAATTTACTTGTTATAAATTAAATAACCAATTTACTTATTATTTTATATTGTTGTTTAAACATTTTGAAGATTTAAAAAATAATGGGATTTTGATAACTTCAGCTTGTCTTCTACAAATTGTTTATCCTCCTCCAATATTCAGTTATTTTAAAACTGAAGACTTTTAAGGTGGGAGTTTAATTGCTTTTAATTTTAGTTCCAAATGAATTTGAAAAATATAAAAGATGAAGACCTAAGATTTGGTAGACATTTTTTAAATAAATCAGAGCAGTTGCTGACGCTAATATCAATAATCTAACACTCTAGATATGTGTCAATAATACAACTTTAAAAGCAATCAAAATAAAAGTTTAAACAATTATAAAAAATTAAAATATTTTTTACGAAGACAAGCAAATCTAGTCTATTAAAAACCAATTACAATTACGTTGAAACAAATTCTCAAATCGATGTAATAACGAAGAAAATTGAGAAATAAAATACAAGCCGAAATTTCAAATTATATACGCGGTAATACCATTGTCTACCTTCTTTACCGATGATTTTAGTTCCCGCATTCGTTGACAGATCGAAAAACAACTTGTTTCCATGGCGATTTCAAACATTCTATTCGTAATATAGTTTGGAGCATTTAAAGCCAAACGGAAAACGAAATCTATACCTATTCAAGAGTACCTGTAATTAAAATAATGACAACATTGTCAAATCACTTTGCACTTTGTATGTATTTGTGATTACATCGTATTTTTAGATTTTCTTATTTTATTTCACGGAGCTGTAAAGTCATTTGGTATAATTTTTTAAACTGTTCGAGAAAACTTAGAATTAATATTAATTAGGATTGAGATTTGTATTCAAAGGGACTAACTTTTTTTAATCTAAAATATAATTTGTTCCATTTAAAAAAATATTAATAACGTCATTGTTTCGTAAAATAGATAACACACTGCATAAATGGCTTAAATGGCATAAATGGCATAAATGGAGCTGTAGTCATTTGGTATAATTTTCTTAAAAACTGTTCAAGAAAATATTGAATTATTATAATTAGAAAATGCATTTAAAGGGACTAACTTTAATATCATTTGTTCCATTTAAAAAATTATTACTGACGTGACATAGATAACATAGTGCATAAATGGCTTTAAAATAAGAATTTACTTACGACCTGTCAAACAATAGCTGCTAGTGAGCGAGGCTCTTATATCTAAGTGCGTTGCAACCACGGTGATTCTACTCTCTGAAAAAAACATACCAAAACCCGGCGTATTTAGGGGCAAAAATCCGCTAGGTTCGCTAGTATCGTTACGGCGGAAAATTGCGGCAATCTTTTTATCTGTCAGAAGAAGTGCAATCATAAAAATAGCTCTTCTATGGTAAAAATTCGAGTTTATATAAAATGAAAAATGACAAAACTATCAGAAGAAGTAAAGATGAAAAAATGTATGATCAACAAATTAGTTTGTTGTTATTGATGGTTGCTTATAAGTGTTTTTTTTTAAATAAGCTACTAATAAATACACTGTGTGCGTTTATACGATCAAAAAAAAAGTGTTCAAAATTTAATAAATATGCTCCAATTAAGTTACAAGTTACTGCTAAATAGGTGAAATGGGATGTCTATAAAAAACAGCCGATTTTGTTTTGTGTTCAAATATTACCTTTGGCTTTGGCAAAAACAGCAATACAGTGGGTTACTGATTATAAAATGAAGAAGTGGACCTTAACTATGGTACTCGGATTGAAGCTTATTATTTTTAAAGTGAGTTTTGTGATTTTCATTGCCCAGATTAAAGATATTCAATAAACATTTAGTTTATTACCTACTATAATCAAATCCATACATAGTGATTGGAAACTTCTTTTTCAAATGTGGACATTTGAAAAAGAAGTTGTACTTCGAAACATATGTCATGTTAGTGTTTGTTTAAAAATTTTTATTTTTAAAATAAAAGTGTGAAAATCTACCAAATTTGGTTTTACTCTTTCAAAAATAAATGGATTTTCATCAAGTAAAGGCCGAAACAATAAATAATTCTTGGATGTTTGTTACAAAGGAACAAAGTGGACTAATTGAGAGGTTAGGTGTATCAATACTTTTTAACTCTGTAAAAAATTAATGAAAACAAATAATAATTATAACTTTATTCTAATTAATTATGCCAACCAACTATTACTACTTGCAAAAACACTTCATTAATCCATCGAAAACCGTTGTCACTTCGACCATATTTTTTCACACTTAATGCACATTTCGAATATCTTTTAATATGGATTTTGCCTGATAATTGTTTACGATATTGCAGTTAAGACTTTGGAAAATTTATAAAATAATATCTATTGCCTTTGAATGATTTATACCGTGTGTCACTTTTACATAATAACACTGTTTCGTTGTTCCTTTCCGTACAGATAACATAATTATAATTGATTGTGAAAATGTATTTTTCAATTAAGACACTAAACTTATTATTACTTTACTTTTTTCTTCCTTTTTTTAAATGAATATAGACTTAAATTAATATTTATCAATTATAATTTTTTTCACGTAGGCATTTTAACATACTTGTTTACAAAAACAGTACGAAAAAGATGGCTGAAACTGACGCATGCGCACAAAAAAAAATTGTGATGAAAAGGTCTATAGGAAACCATCAAATCAATCACGTGTATTGTGCAAATTTTTATTCAATTTCAACAGCAGGCATTTATCTTTAAGGTGGTAAGTTGAACTGTGTAAATTATGTGGATCGTGCATTTGAGGTTAAATTCACCACTCTGTCCATAGTCCAAAATGCCTAGAGGACGACGTGCGAACATCGGCCGCCGCACAAGACATGCAAGCCAGCAACAAGTGTATTCACAGAACTTAAGCGAAGAAAGACAAAATATAATAAGAGAAAATGCCCGATTGAGACAACGCGTGAGCACACGAAGATCATTGGCATCATACAATCGCTTGGCATTCCAATATGATCCCACTGCGAACTACAGCGATGATGAAAATTTAGATATTGGACCAATGACGACTATATGCCGATATTGCAATGCGTTAAAGTTCAAAAGAGAAACGGCTGGATTGTGCTGCGCAAGTGGAAAAGTCAAACTGGATCCATTACTTACACCACCACAGCCACTGAAACCATTGTTCGATGGAAGTGATCCCGATTCCAGCCATTTTCTTCAACACATCCTTAAATACAATAACTGCTTTCGCATGACTTCCTTTGGAGCTAATATCATTCGAGAAGGCGGCTTCATGCCGACTTGCAAGGTAAAAGATACAACACACATAACCAATCACTCACACCAACACAATGAATTAGGCATTCCAACGACCTGTCCAAATGGCTACCAGTGGGTACTGACAGTTTAGATATGGCAACCCTGTTGTCATGTTGTCATTAACAGGGTCAATGATACATATATGTTATATACATTGCTCAAAGCTGGTCGTTTGCGAGCAGCCATATTGCCTGGCAAATATTTATTAATTTGAATCAGTTTAGCAAAAATGTGTTTCAAAACCAATTTTCAGACTATAGATATTTAAAAAATAATAATTGCGTATATTTTTACTTCAAGGCATAAGCTTATGTTTATTTTAAAAAATAGGGATGATCAATCTATGTAACTATCTATTTCACTCACCTTGTCAAATCACCAGGCCTACAGAGTTGCCATAACTTTGCCACATCATAACCTGTCAAAACCCACTGGTAGTCATTCAGTTTGGAATGCCTAATTGCAACACATAACAACTACATATACACCACACACTACACCATCACACGATCAGAAGTTACACCGTATTCTTCAACAAATGATTGTTTGCAATTACAGATACAAGGACAAATATATCATTTGCATGGTTCAATGGTGCCAACACCAGATGAACCGCATCAATTTCTGCAAATATATTTCATTTCGTCGATGGTGGATCAGCTGAATGTGCGGTGCAATATACAGGGAACACAACAGTTGAAGAGACGAATTATTGAACAGTTGCAAGCATTTTTTCACGCTAATAATGCTGTGGTTAATATGTTCAAAACAGCATTGGAACGAATTACTTTGGATTCACTTTCATTTACTTAGAGAAGTTCAACTAAATAACACTTCATTTTTGTAATCGAAATGAATTCATTACTGTTGTGAAATGAAATAAAATTTTTCCTTTTCAAATATAAAACAAAAAAAAATGTTTTCTTCATCTTTTAATCACCAAACGAAATGTTACATAAAACGAAGCCATCTGGTGGCGAAACGGAGTTCGCCGGGTTTGCTAGTGCTATGCAATTTCTAGTGGTTTCTTCGTATCGCACTCCGCCTATGTGGCGTTGTGAACAAATTACGTCTCCGTGTAATTTGGTGATCTTTATCTATCAACTCTTGTTGCAGAAACTATTATTTGGCTTGCATAAATATTTTATCTAATTTTTGTAGATTGTATGTTTTGAAAATAACATACGAAAGTACAAAACTTTTGAATTTCAAGTACTTTAAGTAAGTCAGTCGTTACAACACGGTTCGAATTAAAAAATTGTGCACAAAAACAAATGTAGTAGGTATTCTTGAGTCATTCTCCTTACTATTTGTTATTTTTTTTTGTGTCATCGGCATCAACTGCTACGGTTATTAGCCTCGTGTTCTGTGTAGGCTTTGTTACTTCAGGAACAGCACTGTTAATTAGTACCCAACAGTGAATGGTCGAGTGGGGAATCCTACCAAGGCATC